GATTGAGTTGGAGTCAGTGACCGTAGGCACGCGGGTGGAGATGATAGAGGAGGAGATAGCAGAGCAGGTTGCTAGCATCTCGAGGGACCCCATCGGCACGGCTTCACCACCTGGAACGACCATTTCGTCAAAATGGACATCTTTTATTTTTTGAACGAAATTGAAACCGAGTTTTTTGGCCGAAAACTCATCAAAATTTGTTGTTCCTGAGGGTCCAGTGTACATGGACCTAGCTTGAGACCAGGCACCTCCAGGTAGGACTGCCTGGAAGTACCTGGTCTCAAGCTAGGTCCATGTACATCCAGGGGGTCCAGCGTTTGTAACGTTGGACCCTCAGGAACAACAAATTTTAACGAGTTTTCGTCCAAAAAACTCGGTTTCAATTTCGTTCAAAAAATAAAAGATGTCCATTTTGACGAAATGGCAGTTCTAGTGTCGCATCTGTGTTCGGCGAGCATGCCATGATTTTTCATCCCTATCCGATGGATGATGGATCTAACGGCGAGCACGATTCCAGCGATGAGCACGATCCTCACCTATCCATCCTTAGGGAGATAGATGAGACACACTCGAGTGACATTGATGTTGACGTGGAGTAGTAGGATACCCGGATGACCAGTGAGCGCTTCCCGATGGGGGCTCCTGAGGATTTACGGGGCGAGTATGATCAGGTCGGTTCCACATCCCACGGACCTGGCAGTACTTCAACAGGCACTTCTCGACAAGGAGGCAGTATGCAGGGACACCTATGCCCCCTACATCTCCTCCGGCCCCTTCGCCCTCTCTCGTGCCTTCGCCATCTGCAGGCCCTTTAGCGCCGCTAGCCGATTTGCCGTCACGACCTCATTCACCTGTCGGGCAATGCAGCGCACCCACTGCCACACCTGAGCTTGCAGCCACACTTATGGCGAGAGGTGCGCCCCCTTCTCAGGTTGCGTTAGACGGTCCACTCCCGCCTGCACCCGCATTTTCGGAGTCCAACGAGGAGGAGAACGTTGAGAAGCGGCCTTTGACCAGGGCGCGCAGAGTTTCTCGTCACCTGAGGTTAGACTTGCCATCACCAGGGATATTGGAGCAGAGCAGGGACGCGGGAGGACATGGGAGTATGGGCGTCGGTGGCGATGACGTCGTTGGAGAGGATCCCCCCACTGGTGGCCCGGAGGGGAGCATGCCTTCGCATGCACAGGATTTACTTCACGACATGGTTGAGCTCTTCATAGAGGCATTACACCTAGTGTCGCCAGAGAGATAGGGGCATCCGAGTCCATCCAGGGGGAGGGTGATTCCGAGTTCGGGACTCCCTCTGACTTGGGTACATCCGCAGGAGTCGAGCATCATGTTAGTGTGCCGCCTTCGAAAAAAGTTGTAGTGCATGACACCGTGGATGTTCCGGCAGCCAGGACGGACAGTGGGCGGGTAGTCGTGGAGTCTCCTACGAGCCGACTTGATAGTGCTGCGTGAGAGGTTGCCTAGAGTACGGCGATGGACAACTCGAGGACGCGGGAGATAGAGCGGCAGATGGACGAGCAGCGACGCAAGGAGATTGGATCCAATCCTTCAATTGTGGTAGGATGCGATGGAGAGGATGAGATTACATTGAGCGCGGCGGGACAATTTGCACCGACTCCATGTTATGTGGTGGTTGCGAGGGCCTTGAGCTCGCACAGGTTGGCCCTCCAGTTGTGGAGGATCACTTGGCTCCCGTGCTCCGTCCATGTCTGCACCAAATTATTGCCAAATATTGGGACGATCTGTGAGTCCTTTGTTGACTGCATCACGAGAGCGAGGGCCTTGTGTTTTTTTTTTTTAACCACCAGGCCGCTCTATCTTTCTACCGCGTCCGGTGCCCCGACTTGGGCCTCGTTCTTTCTTGGGAGATGTGATTCGCTTCTTTGTAAGCCATCCTGAAGCGGTTAGCGGTTGTGCAGGATGCGCTGCAGGACATGATGGGAGA